CACCCATGGGAGATTGTCCGCTCTTAATAGGCCGACTCACACCTTTAGATGGAATTAGAAACTCTCCACTGCCACTATTGCTGGTCTAGGTGGCGAATGATTCCTCTAGCCTTGGAATTGCGGCCTTACCTGATGAATCAGCTTCCACCTCTACTGGAGACCTTGATCTCGAGACAAAGACAAGTGAGCAAATTCGGTCTTTAATTTCATTAGTATTTACTGCCTAAATTTGAACGCTATGTGTTGCATAACTGAAATAATTTCGCTCCTTTAGTGCTGTTTCATTTAGCTTTACGAACATGCTTTAAACGAAGTGAGGTGTTGAGTCCTTATTCATTGAAAATGTTCTGTTGTTATTTAAACAGGACTGACAAGGCAATTACTTAGGGGATTAAAAAATCTACTTCATGCGTTCTCATGGTAACTTGTCTCATCATCGTCGAGGGGGCAGTTCACTGTCATTTCTATGCAAGTAGATTGCGTGAAAAATCGCCGCTTATGGTGCGAGAGAGGGGTGGAGTGAGATTATGCGATGCGTTAAGGGAGAGGGTTGTCGTCGAATGGAATACAGGCAGAACAACTCCCAATGCAGTGCATGCAGTTTGTTTGCCAGAAACCGGTGGTGAAGCGAGCATTTCAGCTGTGATGCAAAGGAGTCCGTCAAGCACTCTCAATGCCGGTACATATGTTGGCTTTGATCTGGCGGATGCTAATGTTGATGCCAGTTGCAGTACCAATCCCATCAAATCCTTAGGCTAATGCCTCTCGACACACGTATCCGTTTTCAAAACAAAAGCGTCTCCGCGATTTAATCATTAATTCACATCCACTGGTGTAAAAATGCGTGACAATAAAGACGACACGAGTGTGACGAGGATCCACTGTCACCGTAGTCCCTTGACTTATAACGAAGCGGCTTCCATTTTATTATCCACTTAACAACCGAATATTTTTATGAATGAATAAAATAATAAGCGAACGGATGAATGTCCACCTTCCTTACCATAAATGAACAGCGTCTCTTGCGCCATTACTTTCATTTCCATCATTGTAAACACTCCTTTCATCCTTTTAAGTTAGCGGTGGTGGTGGTGGAGTA